ACGACAATTTTACTATGGTTCCCACCTATCAGTGACTTCTTGTTTTTTTTATCTTGTTGTTTTTCTGGATAGCGAATTTCAAAACCACTGACACCGATGCTGTTATACTCCTTTTTGCTTTCAAGAAAATTCTGAAGAAACACATTGGAATCTCTGCTAGGGAACAGTTCATCCAGCTCATCGATTGTGCTGAGTCTCTTCCTGGTATCTCCATGCAGTAAGTCTTTGTCTTTGTCAGCAGCATTTCTCAACGTGACCTTCTGTCCCGGAGGGTCTGAAAACATGAACGAACTTTCAGAGTCTTTCAGGCCACAGCTGTGACTCTTGCTCATCTGTTCTATGGTTTGAGGAATGAATGCTTCTGTGCTCAGTCCATCTTTTTTATTGGTCTTGTGGTCATGCTTCCTTAGTTGCAGCTGCATGGAGCCACACTCAGCGTTCCCCAGTCCTTCATGCTTCACTGTGGGTTTCTTGTTGCGCCTCAGCACAAAAACAAGAAGGCAAAAGGCAACAAAGACCGTCAAAATGAGGACCACCAAGATACTTAAGATTAAAATAGACAGAGGCACTGGGCCCCCAGGAGGACTTCTAATGGGACCCAATGGAGTGGTGAATGTAATTGCAGGTGCAGGGCTTGTGAAAAGTGCAGATGGCTTGTTTAAAAGTTTAGGACATAATATTTCATTTTTGAGGGACTTCAGTTCAATGTTGGCAAACTGAACAGGAGTCTCACATTTCAATTCTTTCACAACAATTCCATCGTTTAACTTCTCCAGCCACAGCTTCAAAGCTACCAAGTCACAAGTGCAGTCCCAAGGGTTGCCCTCCAAATCAATTTGTGTAAGAGACTGCAACTGATCGAGGACTCCGCTGACAGGTAGGTACATGAATTTGTTATTCCTCAGGTTCAGTCTAGCAAGAGGTGCTCCAGAAAAAATGTAAACTGGCAGGCTCTTTAAGAGATTGTTATTCAAATACAGTAGCTGCAAATTGGGCATGGAGTCAAAGGTGCCCGCTAAGATTTCCTTAATCAAATTGTATTCCAAATACAGATACTGCAGGTTATGAAGGCCTGAAAATATTTCAGGGTACAGCCTTTCGATCTGATTGCCATTGAGATAAAGCCTGCGTAGATTGGTAAGATTGTGGAATACTTCTCCTTTGATTACCGTAATCTGATTGCTGCCTAAATGGAGCAAATCCAGTCCTTCAAACTCAGTAAAGTCTGAAATGTCCACATCTTTGATGTTATTGCCATTGACATGCAACTTCTTGGCATTTAAAGGTTTCGGGATCAGTTCAGACATGGACTGTATATTTTTCTCTTGGCAATTCACACTCAGTCCCAAATCAGAAGGATGTGTTTTGCAAAAGCAAGGTGCCGGGCAAGGTGTAAGAGGAGGCACTCTTGTTTGGTAGGACACAATCTGACTGAGATTTCGGTTGGAGAGGGCTTTGCCTGCCACTATTCCAGATATTTTGGAAGGATTTGTTGTTTTGGGTGGTTTGGTCACTAATCTGTGCAAGGTTGTTTGAGTAGTGTGACCATTGGGAGTGGTGTAGCCATTTTCCAGTTGAGATGGAGGCAGAATGCGAACGTCAAAATCACTCCCTGTGCCCATGGGACACAGTTCTTGCTTGTTGGTTTCCTTTAAAAGCCTTCCATATAAGTCACTGGGAGTTTCACAGATAGCTTCTCCTATGTAAATGTTATATGGCATATTCTCCAACCAAGCTTTTAGAGGCAATAAATCGCAGCTACAGTTCCAAGGGTTATCTTCCAGCTGCAATTCAACCACCCGGCCAATGTGTTCCAGAACTCCAATGTAGGGGAGTTTCTGGATTCTGTTTCCTCGTATATCCAGATGGGTTAAAGATGCGAATCGAAAAATATTATCAGGAAGGAATGAAATCAGATTGTCATTAAGAATGAGAACTTTAAGTTTGTGGAGCTTATTGAAGGCTCCTCGTTCAATATACTTGATTAAATTGTAGTCAGCCTGGAGATACTCCAAGTTCTCGATGCCAAGGAAAGTGTCAGCTCGGAGAATCTTTAATTCATTGTTGTTCAAGTGCAACTGCTTTAATGCACTGAGCCCGAGAAAGGCTCCTCCCTCAATGTTCTGCAGTTTATTATTTCCCAGATGCAGAGATACTGCATGTGAAAAATTCACGAATGTATTTGGATAGAGGATATTTAAGAAATTGTTTTGGAAATTGAGGTGATAAAAATTAGACCACGGTGGTTTCAATTGGTTTGGTCTGTAGACTGAAACCTTCTCACAGTTGACATAGAGTACATTCTCTACTGACACGCAGGAGCACACATTGCAAATTTCCACTGATATGTCAGAATCTGCATTTGTTGAAGAAACCAGGGCTGACACAATCAGAAAGAGCCAAAGAAACATCTTCTTGCAATCAGCAAACAACTCTATGCTTCTGAATAAAGAGAAATAATCTAAAAAATAAAAAGAAAACAGTTTTTCAATGTTCACTCTTTGAAAAAGACATATCTGTGCTTAAATCATCTCATTGTGAATATATGGGTACAGTCTCTAGCATTGTACTTTTTAAGGCAGCCAGATTTGCACTCCACTGAACAATAATAACCACAAAAATGTCACATTCTTTATATCTATAATTTGTACAAAATGCACATGTGTAGACTAAACAACAAACAGTAAGGTAAGAAAGGAGATTTCAAATCACACATACAACTTAATAGTTTCAATTTTTAACTTAAACCACCAAACTTTGCCATTAAGACTGCTGTTTGAACTAAAATGCACATACCTATCACATCATTTAATTCATGTCCTCTACAACGCAAACATACCACAATTGGTGGAAATCTATTCTCTTAGCTTCTGCTAGATCCAGAGGCTGTATACA